AGTCCATGCCACACCATCAGCATCTGCTAAGACAGGCCATGCCACACCATCAATATCTGCTAAGACAGGCCATGCCTCACCATCAGCATCTGCTGGGACATCCCATGCCACACCATCAACATCTGCTAAGACAGTCCATGCCACGCCATCAGCATCTACTGAGACAGCCCATGCCAAGCCATCAGCATCTGCTGGGACAGGACACGTCTCACCATCGGCATCATTTGCATTTGGCCCCCAGTGATTTGTGAGGGTTTCTCCTTTCTTAATGAGTGGGGGCATGGCAATGATTCATGGTATCACCTGCTACTGAGGGTCCATATTCCTGTCAAAGCAGTTGGACCAGCCACAAGGCAGCCAGCGAGAGAAGTGCCTGTCTCCCCAGTCCTTGGTCAAACAGGATAACATGACTGATGAAGATGAGGCCATGCCCTGTGTGCAGGTGATGTCTGCACAGGGAATTGCTGCCCCTCAAGAAACCTGCCTCTGCTTCCTGTCCTTCCTGCCTTCCTCCTCAACCTCCCCTCACCCCCCACAACTTTGTTTTGCTATGTAGGAGGTAAAGGAAGCCCGTGGTGTGGGGAAAGTCCTGTTTATACAAAACTAACCTTTTTCAGTTTAATAAGACTCAAGCTGTCACCAGGAAGTACCATATGGACTCATGTTCAGTTCTACTTCCAACCGGTTCATGCGTCACCTGTTGTTACTTGTAAACAGAACTCCACATATGCCCGGTTTTAGAGGTTCCACCAGCCTATTACTGTCGGTTACCTGTCATGTCACATAGTATTCCTGTAGAGTGGGTCAGGATGCCTGAGTAACCCACAAGTGAGGCTAGGCTTGAAGATGCACGACACCTTTTCTGTAACCAGATCCTTTCCATGGACCAGGGACATTAGAGCATTAGCATTCCTAAACGTGTTCCGCTAGGTGCAGTACCATTGGTGGGCAACTCATATCCAGGAACGAGACCGTCAGCATTCTCCCTCAAAAGGAGTGCATCTTGCTAGATCCAAGAGCCTCTCTACGGAGTGTCCTCTAGAGGACCCTCTACAGTGTTCTCTGCTCTCCTGCTCATTTACCTGGGCAAGGCACTTCCCTTCCATAGACCCTGCCACTGCCGAATGGCTGTTCCTTAAACAGCTGTTGACTGTGTTTAGATGTGTCCAGGAATAAAGATGCAAAGAGATCATAGGCAGGCAGCTGGCAGAGAGAGGGAGAGTTAGGTCTCTTCCATCATTCCAGACTCGAGTAGTGAACGCCGAGGAAGTCTGCTGTGGTACGCAGGCTCCACTGGAGGCAACTCTTGGCAGCATTTCTTTGGTTTGGGTGCCAAATATTGAACCCTCGGCCCCACACGGGCTGAACACGGGCTCTGCTACTGAGCTCCGCCAGTGGCCTGAGCCGACGCATCAATTAGGAACCCACCCAGATGTCCACGGACCAAAGAGTAGATGAAACTGAGATCACAAAGCAGAACTAAGAGCCGATGAATGGATAGAGCTAACACCACCCCGTGGGAGGTTCTCTAGGACCGGAAAGTTGAACGACAACAGAAAGTCTCAGAAAAACAAGTTTATAACACTATTTATGTGATCTTTAGACATGGCCGAGCCAGGATTACATATAAGGAAGCATGCAGATATACTAAACAACCAAAATAAGGAGTGACCAAGTCAGATAGGGTAGTACCCTTTGAGGAAAGAGGGATGGAGGGCAACCAGGGTGGGATCTACGAGGAATTCTGCTACATTGGTGATACACTACACGGGTGGTGTTCAGTTTCTTAGCTGGTTGGTACAGGATTTTCCTCCTCCTAAAATAATCCCCCTCCTCTTTCTTTGCTGTCCTTGGGATAGAACTTAGCAGATTGTAAGCAAGTGCTCTGTCCTAAGTTACACCCCAAACACGGCTTCACTATTATTATTCTTTAACTCTTACATGGAACTACTTTGGTATTCATATATATGAACTTATAATAGGGATATGTATGCATACATATTATTTATTTTGAATGCTATATTTAGCAATAGGAAAATGTACAAACAAGCCGCCTCTATGAGCCCTCGCCTTTCCCGAGAGCACCTACACCTCTCTAAGTTAGACGCCCTTCACGTTCTGCAGCCACCCCTGCAGTCCCCTTAGCTTTTATTCACTCCCCCCCACACCCCTGCTACATTGTACCAGGAAGCGTACAAAGTGCTTTTCACTGTATTACCACTTTAGTCCCAATAACACGACATGGCAGGAGCTACCATTATCTGTGTGTTGCGTGTGAGGGAACAGGTGCCCTGCTAAAGCAACTACTTTAGGCTGACATGGTTGGGAGACGGTAGACGTAGACCTTAAGCCTATGGGCTGATGGGAGTGTAGGAATGCTGGGTGACTTCCTCCCTCTGGTCCTCTCTTCTCCCAAGTGGTGCCTTTCCTCTTGCTTCATCACGAGCATCCATACTTTCTCTGTGCCTTCACATGCACAGTTCTCTTTGACTGCGGTAGTCCTTCCCCAGAGAGACTGCACAGCATCAGGACCATGTGAATATATTTGAGAAAGGGGTCAACTGAACGGAGCAGGAACTGAATGCTGAAACTCACTCCCGGAGAACTAGAGCTCTCTTCTAAGGAGTCCCAGAGCCCTTCCAGTTTGAACTAAGCATCAGGTTGTGCTTGATGCTGTCCTGATTCATCGTCAGGATTTCTCTGGGGAACTATTTTGAAAGGAATGATTTCTTTTGTGAGCTAGTAGTTTATTCTTTGACAAAACGGGCAAGGGTTGTGTCTCAGTTAGGGTTTCTATTGCTGTGAAGAGGCACCATGACCATGGCAACTCTTATAAAGGAAAGCATTGAATTGGGGGTGGCCTACAGTTCAGAAGTTTCGTCCATTATCATTATGGCAGGATATGGCTGAATACAGGCAGACATGGTGCTGGAGAAGGGGCTAAGAGTGTTACATTTTGACCTATAGGCAACAGGAAGTGAGCTAATAAACTAAGCACAGCTTTGAGCATAGCCTAGATCGCAAAGCCCGCCCCCACAGTGACACACTCCTCCCAACAAGGCCACAATTACTTCAACACGGCCATACCTCCTAAGAGTGCCACCCCCTTTAGGGGGGCCATTTTCTTTTAAACCACCACATTCTACTCCCTGGCCCAAAGGCTTGTAGCCATATCATAATACAAAAATGCATTCAGCCCAACTTCAAAAGTCCCCATAGTCTATAACAGTCTCAAACTTATTTAGAAGTCTAAAGTACAAAGTCTCTTTGAGACTCAAGCCAACTCCTAACTATAATCTCCTGTAAAGTTAAAATAAAAAAGCAGACCACATACTTCCAACATATAATGGCCCAAGATATACATTACTATTCCAAAACATAGGAAAGGGAGCATGGTGAGGAAATACTGGACAAAAGTCTAAAAACCAGCTGGGCAAACCCTAAACTTTGCATCTCTGTGTCTGATGTCAAAATGCTCTTCAGATCTCCAATTTCTTTCAGCTTTGTTGAATGCAACACACTTCTCTCTTTTGAGGATGGTTCTACTCCCTGTTAGCAGCTTTCCTCAGCAGGTATCCCATGGTTCTGGCATCTCTAACATTTTGGGGTCTCCAAGGCAATCCAGGCTTCACCTTCACAGTTTCACACAATGGCCTCTCTGGGCCTCCATTCAGGGACACCCCTGACACATGCCTGGCTTCAGTGGCTTTCCTCAGTTGCTTCTTAACTCTAAAGCCAGAGAACCCCATGGCCAAGTTGCCAAGTTCTGCTGCTTGCTGGGGCT